AAAAAAACTAAACGTGTTAGTACAGTAATAACGACTACAACTAAAAACAATAACAACATCTACAATCAAAAATTAATTCAAATAAAATAATCTAAAATAAGCATGCAAAATAAAAATTAATTCAAATAAAATAATTATAAAAAACATGCAAAATAAAATACTAATTCTAATAAAAAAACATGCAAAATAAGGAAGTATTTTAACTACGGGATCTTCTTTGTCTTTTCCACCGTTGATCTGAAACAGATAGGTTGGCAATAAATTAATAACGAGTCATTTTTAATTAATTTCAATGTATTCTTACCTTGATTAGCTGCAGAATGTTACGTTCCAAAGTTTAATAATGTGAAAAGCAGATCAAAGCCACCAGGAATGAGGACATTTGCTATTTCAGGACGAATGAAAATTCCAGGGGTTGTTACTCATCCATCAGGAATTAGATGCATAATGTTGAAGGAATTGATGTTAAAAGCAGTCCAAGACCAGAATGAATGGTGCAATTGTTGGCACATCAGTAGCACCTAATTAACCTGAACGCCCTTATATCGTTCGTTTAACCAACCTGTAGAAATGGACAAGAAAAGCAAATTAAAAAGATTATTTAATAAGCAAAGTATAAAAGAAAATAAAAAACTGCCGAAAGGTATACATAGTGTTTATTATGGTTCCTAATATAATATTTAAAATTAATGTTTCATCCCTTCATGCTACCTTCCACACTCAGAGAAAGGCATTAAGTTCTATTTCAACTGTTCTGTTTTATGGGATAATTTACTCCAAATACTTCACAAATTATATCTTTAATGTTGTCACTTACCAATTCATTGCCATAAAAATACTTGCTGCAACACATTTCTTTTGATTCCAACAGGTAAAAGCACTTTTATGCATCCTTCAGGTACCGCTATATCCTGAAGTGAAAGAGAACTGATATGATCCAACACTTCGTGACACGTGGCATTCTCCTGTAAAATAAAATGGTATGAAACAGTACACATAATGTAATTAATTTAACCCCCTAATAAAAATAATAAATCCTTAAAATAATTATTTTCAAAATTAACACAAAAACTTTTTTCTGATTCTCGAATCTTGTCTTAATGAGCAAATACTACATTAATTAAAAGAATCTCTTTGTTTGTGATATTTGGAAACTACAAGGCTGTTAATCATGTATTGAACTAAAGAAATTTACGTTTTTAAACGATTCAAAAAAAGGACGTTCTCAATTCGCTTGTATTTTTTTGTGTGTATGTTACGCGACTTCTTCGTCAATCGTAAACCGATTCCAGTTATTATTTTTTTATTGTATATATTATATTTTGAGAGTTGTGCCATTCAAATTTGAAAATGACATTCCATCTGTAAGGGTCGAAAATTGAGGAATGATAAAAAACTACTTGAACATATTTTGCAACTTCGTTATTTCCGTCTGAGCTTTCTCATTGTATCGGCTACATCTCGGGTGTGATACTTTTGAATTTTTGTTGGTTTTTTATTAGTTTGTGTTCAATGTAATAATATAAAAAAGCAATAAAAAAAATAATTTAAAGTGAATTTGCTAGTTCATGAAATTAATTTGTGTCTTTATACTGTACAATTGTGACATATCTAGGTTGTTAATTTTAAGCAGAATTCTAAAAGCAGTTAATGCCGGTTGGACCATAATAAATAAATAAATAAATAAAAGTTTGACTTTAATCAAAGTTTAACCATACTTAATTAATATTATCACATAATTACCTTTATGGTGGTGCCACTCAAGATGTTACCAATTCATTGTTATAAATCCTTCCTTTAGCAGCAGATTCGACGTTGTCTGCTTCCAGTGGAAAAAAGGCAGTTTCTTCGTTCCTCCAGGCAAAGCGTACAGCACGTTGTGAAGTACAAGAAGATTTTCACGCAGGAAATACCTCACGACATATGCTATCCAGATTTGTGTAACGTTACTGTAAAATGATTTGTTATATTAATCAATAAGTATTCAAAAATGATTAAGCTATGATTACCACCCCTATTAGAAATCCATTAAGAACATTAATATCCAACACCCCATATAGTTTTTTATTGGAAAAACAACAACTGGTCAAACATAGAACTTAAATAATAATTAACTATGCTTTAAATTAACTTCTGATGATTTGATTAATAAATTCCTTATAATACCTATAAACATAAACAGTTTAATAATTGTTAATGAATTATCTCTAAAAGACATCACCAATTGATAGTGGTTAAATAAGTAATCGTCTTAAAATGACTAAGAAAAGTTTTGAAATGAAATTAGCAAAACAGGTTAAAATCCAGCATGTTACAAACTTTACTATTGTAGGAAAAAGTGACAATTTTGCGGAGAAATTTAATCAAACCGCACCAGACACCGCCATTTATAAAACTGTGATACATTTCTAACATTCTGGAGTCACTGGCTAAGAAAACTGCAAGACTTTCTCACTCAAATTAGGAAGCTGGCGTATTAATCGCTCGACGATTCAGCCAGGCCATATATTAAAAACCAGATATTTTTACAAAGATTCCAACCACCATACTTGTTAAAAATGAGGAGGAATAAAAACATAATAGAACGCGCCAGAACAATATGTGAGTCTATGGTATTGCTGTTGTAACAGACCTCTGCTTCCGCTTCCGTAATCACGAAAGTTCCGCATACATTTTCACATCCGCTTCTACATCTGGTTCTTCATTTTTATAAAGGAAGTTTATCGGACCTTAACAAAATCTTATTTCTCATATTTTTGAAATTCAATATATCAGAACAATAAAATAAATCGTAAAAATTTATAACTTTTATCTGTTGGCTGAATTTGGTCGTCTTCATGTTGTGCAGGTACCCGCACAAGCTTTCAGCGGCCACTCTGTATCATTGCGAACGAATTATTTTCAACCTTTTATGTTTATGAAGTATTAGCCTCAATGCAATGCTATAGTCGGCAAAATTTTGTCAATAATAATATTGTCCGGGTGTAAATAACTTATTTGTTATAGTTTAAGGTAACCTTTTTCCTATTATTTCATATATTGGTATTTTCCAAATTTTATTATATTATTAATTTCCTGCATTAATCTAAAAACGTCGAGGACTTTAGCCACTTCACCTAATAATTTCATTTCTACTAATTTGATTAGCGTTTATTTATTTTGTATAGTATTTGCTCGGTGGTGTCAATTTTAAGTTAAAAGTACAATATTGAAGCCAAAAAGAAATTCCATTTAGGATTATTTTGTTCATATTAACGATGCAAGTACTAAATGCAAAATTTGTCACAAAATATTTTCGAAAAGGGCGCACGACCACTGCATTGAAGAGTCACCTGAAAACATTACACTTCCGCTTCCGCATTCGCTTCAGTTTCCGCTTTGGCAAAAATTTACCGTTTACTTATGTTTCCTCTTCTGCTTCGGAAAAGTGCTTTAAGAAGAAATGGGTCGACCGGAAGAGAAATCCGACAATTCTTCAAGAAACCGAGGAAAAAAGAACTTTAATAATGAACAAGTGCTAGAACACACACACACACACATTGCCATTCTACCGTACATCCCCAGACGTATAATGGATTTCTTACACGTTTGGAAAATATTACGTAGGAACTACAAAACGATCCATCAACACAAGAGTAAATGAACGCAAAACAAATCGCCGTCTAAGATACGTATATCAACAGAACATGCTTTAAACAACGTAATCATAAAATCAGATTCGAAGGCACTAAAGATTTGACCACCGAATCATCATACTACTCGAGACGGCCAAGGGAGTAGGGAGTAATGTAGATAGATAAGAACAGACGAATCCCTAAAAATCGCTAAAAACCACCGAACCCAAAAAGCGAACTAATTAGATTACCAGTTTACCAAACACCCCAAACACGTACACGTCCAAATACAAATATGCGCTCCAGAGCACCTCTCGCTAAAGCATGTTAAACAATCGTAAGAACAGATCTATTTGAAAATGCCAACCGTTCATTTTGAGGAAATGTCGAGAAGAAAAATATCACTCGAAAATCAAATAATCATAATTATTTTCGCTATTTAAATTGTTTTGAATTAAGAAACACTTCAATAAATAAAAACATGATGGTTCTTAACAAATTTATTTAAATCTATTATAGCTCGTTCGGAAGAGATGATTTTCCTGTGGAGGTGGTCGATAAACTATATCTCATTGAGAAAGATAGGGAACTAATATAGTCACAAGTATACGTATAACATGATAAATATACAAATAAGTTCTGAAATGAAGGTACAACAAAATATATATATACAAAGAAGAGGCTATATACAAGAGGTAAATACAACACAGATACAACAATAGAGTCAAGAAATTACAAGGGGTGCAGATGGTTAGACATTCTAGGAAGGAAGGTATAAGGGAAATTTGGCAATAAAAATGAAAGAAGAAATAGTCACGTACAATTAATAAATAGATGGTAATAAGCTCAAGATTAATAAACTAATAAAACGATAGCTGGACAACTATAGTAAAATACACAAAAGGTCCAATTCACAACATAAATATTGCTATTTGGCCTACTAAACGAGTGGTAGATGTTAGCTTATGATTTCTAATATTTAATTTTGGAAATGCATGTATCATATTGGTTCAATGTGCACTTCTACAATACTTGACTCAATTTATATCTTTAACTATGTATTTGTAAACAATCTAGGTCTGCCTTTGCCCTGAACTCCTAATAACTCTAACACGCCCTTCATGTCCCAGAAAGTGCCCTATTAACCTATCTGGCCTATTCCTTATCGACTTCCACATCACTCTCTGTTCTCCTACTCTTTCTAGTATCTCCTCCTTTCTAAACTTTTCTCTCCATAGTATTTTTAACGTCCTCCTCTGATATCACATCTCAAACATCAGTAGGGGTTGAGTGGAGAATTGATGTGATTAAAAGGAACAATTTTTTTTTATATTTCTTAATTCTTTCGAGTACTTTGGACTATTTTGTTCGATGAAAGGTCAATTTATGCGTTGAAGGAAAAGTTAATGTAAACATCAGAGAAGGGGTAAGTTCTTGAGTTTTTAAATTAGTAAGACCAAGACTATATCAACAAGACCCACATTAAGCCGAAACTATATCAGCAAGTCCAAGACTAGAAGTATTTGATCAAGTCCATAACCAAGGCTGAATAAGCAAAACCAAGACCAATATCAAGACTGAGTCAGTCTTGATCTTGCTCTTGCTTTACTCATCACTACTGAAAATATTATCTGTCATTTTGAAAACTGTTCTAAACTAACCGAACTCAAAATTTTTTGAAAAAGTGTAGCATCACTCAAAGGCTTTAAGTTGTTTTTATTGAACTTATATTACTTTATTATGTATAGGTATGAATAAATAGATAAAGGTATTTATACGAATTTGACCATATTATCCTTTAAGGATTACAACATCCCTATGTTTCGCTTGTACTATATAGTATACACTTATTACAGGTCACAATTTATTAATTATTTGTTTACAAATTATTGCTTTCATATTTTCGACTAATAGCACATTTATTTACTAATCAATATTTTCAATTATTGACACATTGTCGCTTAATACTTTTCAATTATAAGGTTTATTTTTTGATATTTTTACTGAAGGTAACATCTACTAAACATTATGCATTAAATATTTCTCATCAAGTAATATAAATAATTCACATAACTGAAACTACATAACGTTATTTTATCATCGAATGGTCTCTTTAAATATACAACTGACACTAATTTTAAGAACCTATTTCTACTCAAACTATAAATGTCTACATATTTATATTTAAACGCGATAATACGTGTAGGTATGCATGAAGGTAGAGATACTTATAATATTAATTCCCCCAGGAAAGCTACGTATATAGTCCTGCACGCATTTGTAATTTTTTAGTCAGCTTTGGAATGCAATAGTAAAAACTTACATATGTGAATATTAGAAGCACTGCAATCCTCCTCTAATGGCTGACAAAACAGATGAACGTTCTCTATCACACAACAATATTTAACTTTTATGTAAAATCTGATACGCTATAAAACTACTGTACAAACACCATAAACCGAAAACCAACTTATTACACATCTAACAATAGGAAAACCCAAACAAATCTTTTATTTTATGTTGTGAAGAACATAGCGACCACATCTGACAATTTAATTCAGCTAAGTAAAACCAAAATGACTGATCTACATTCGTGTTGTGAAGAGCCAACATAAAAACTACTGATAAGTTTTTGCTCCGTTGTCAAGGATACGCGAACGAGTTAATATTATAGTAAACAGCAGAATTAAAACATTCCAGAAGCGTAAAGTACTCAAGGAAAATTATACACACGGAAGGAACAAGGACTCTACTTTTAATATTTTCGATTAAAAAGTAATATAAACAGATTAGGAAAATAAAAGAAACAGAAAATTTTGCCGTTATTTCTGATAAAAAAAAATTGTAGTAGGTATATTTACAAACTTGTGAAAACTTTAGACCAGGGGTGGCTAACCCGCGGCCTACGAGATTCGTCATAGTTTTACAAAATACATATACAGTGGATTTCATTTATTGCGATCTTAGTTATAGCGACCATTCTGTTAAATATAAATCCCTTGAATTTAAAGTATATATTGGTACAAAATTCATGTTGCTATAACGACTTCGGATATAACGCCGAGTTCGGATGTAGCGACTGTTTTTAATGAATAATTTGTAACAAATCCCTATTAATCCCATGTAGATATAACGACCGGAGTCTGCCGCTAAAGACACAAAGAGCTTTTTTATCTTTTGTTTACATGCACACACATGGTCAGAAAGTGTGGTGACCTTTACTATTTGGTTATAGATGCTAACCAGGTAGATAGGTAAGCGTGTACGTTTAAATGGTTCAGTTACAAAGTGATATTGTGAGTAGCAACTGTGTTTAGTAAACTTTTGAA